CACTGCTGCAGCACCTCTGGAGCTGCCTGCTGCTCCCGCGCTGGTGGAGGGGAAAAGGGAGCTTCTCCCAAGGGAAGAGCCAAGAGGAAGCGAGTTAGGGAGCACTAAGCAAGGGGCAGTGCTGGGCAAGGAGTGGGAAGCTGGCAGCATGGGGAGAGCGGAGCCACGGATGGCTCCATCACCCGGAACCTGGGGGTAGAAACACAGAAAGTTGTCCCCACTGGGACAACAGGCTGGGGGCCAGCGTGAACAAGCAGCAGCGTCTCCGTGGAGAAGCCCCAAGGAACCCGCCGGCGCAGGACCACGTCTCCCGTGGCCCCGATCACTTACTGCCATTTGCTCCTGCAGACCCAGGGCTGCTGCGCCCTCTTATACAGCGTCTTGTCATGCCCTGTGCCAGCTCCGGGCAAATCCCCAAGGATTTCACCACAGAGGCACTGAGACTGCCAGGTCCACGCTCCAGCACTCCCGCATCCCCCCGCTCTGCCTGCTCACACCTTCCCCAATGCAAATTCCACTCGGGAAAAGCTGATCTTTCTGGGCAGGGAAAGGGAAACAAGCTGGGAACAGCCCTGCTTGCCTGGCGCTCCGAACAACAGATCCTAGAGAAGGAAAGGAAGGTGGTGGCCTCTCATAGGAAGGAAAACAAAATCAGATTAAGGCCTGGTCCAGCTATGTGTCCCTTATCATATCTGTTTTCCTAGAGATAGAAGACAGCCCTGTATCAGATCCCAGACCAATGGACTGTCAAAATAACCGCTGTCAAAATAACTTGCCTGGTTTCTTTGAGCTGCAGCATCTGGGAGGGAGAAGGAAGAGGTGTTGGTCTCAGCATTAAATGGTAACAGCATCAAAACCAGCCCTGTATCAGATCCCAGACCAATGGACTGTCAAAATAACCGCTGTCAAAATAACTTGCCTGGTTTCTTTGAGCTGCAGCATCTGGGAGGGAGAAGGAAGAGGTGTTGGTCTCAGCATTAAATGGTAACAGCATCAAAACCACACACAGAGGAAAGGCCCAGGGCCGGGCACCAGCGTCTCCCTGTCGCCAGGTCAGACGAGCTCCGAGCTCCGTGGCCGCAGGTTATCGCGGAGCAGGTCTCCGGAGCGTCCTCCTTGGCGTGCCGGTTTGGGCACAGCCCGGGCTCTGCTGCTGAATCAAATCCAAGGCAGCCATGAGGCATCGCTGCTCCTCATCTACATATGCAAAGCAGCCTCGTTAGCAAACACTGATAACGAGATTAGGGATGGAAAAGCCAAGTCTATTTTAAGATATCTCTTGCAAGGGGTGCAGCAAGATTGGCGCCTTCCCCAGGACGCTGCCTTGGCACCTGCTTAGCAGCCCCGGCACTCCCGGAGCCTGCGGATGCTCTGGCCCGCAGAGCCGGGAGGACCGACCCTGCGGTGTTGTGACATGGAGCAAGAAGCATCGTGTCCCTGGCGGGTGTCGCCCCTCGGGAGTAGCTCTGCCTAAGCTGGGGCCACCGCGGAACATCTTCCCAGAAGCAAATTCCCAGGTTCACGGCTCTAACAGGAGCTAAAGGCAAACGCATTCCGGACTCACAGGGCACTGCCGGCTGCAGCCGGGCAACTAAAGAGGGTTTCTGATGCATCCGGCAAGAGTGCACGAGGACATGGCGACAGAGGTGGGAAGGGGCTGGCTTTGAAAGAGGAATTTGATGCCAAGCCTTGCCGTGTGCCCGGCGCAGCTCGGGGACCTCCTTTGCTCGGCCACCCTCAGGCACGTGGCAGCGGAAAGGGGGGCAGTGCAGGAAGGAGGGCGGCAGCCTGCAGCCCTGCCAGCCTCTTCCTCCCTGCCAGGGCAGCGGCGCTCGGCACACGGCAGCTCAGCAGCTCCCTGCTCCCAGTGCGGCGGGAAAATCCCTCTGGAGGGAAACCCACATCCCGCAGTGCTCTCGGGGACACCCTTCCATCCACCATCCTGCCCTGTGTTCCTAGGGCATCAGGGCTGCAGCTCCCACCAGAGGCACTTCTGCATCCAGCAGATCCCTGGGGGCTGCTCCGCTCTGCCCGGAGCAGAAGCCGCTGGCACCGTGGAGCCAATGTCGCGTTTCGGTCTCGCTCTTCCAGCTCTTTGCAAGCAGCCCCTCCACTAACACCGGGAAGTTGCTCCAGTAACCAGTGCTTACAGATTGCATTTAAAAGCCATGAAGCCAGAGTCGGCTCAAAGGCTTTTAACCTCGTGATCTTCTATACTTATTTGCTCTTTGGGCTTTTTTTTTACCTTTTAATAGTGCCAGTCTGTCTGCAGCACAACCCTCCCACCCCAGCAAGGGCGACCCGCATCCCGGTGCCGTTAGCGGCCAGCACGGGCGGCCGTGCCGGGATTCCCGGGGAAAACGGCACCTTCGGCACTTCCCAACCCCCTACTGGGCCAGCGCGGATGGAGCTGGCTCCGAGGCCCCATGCAGGGCTCGCTCACACAGACCACGCTGCGATTTCGCTCTCTCCTAAGGAAGTAAAATCACACACTTCACTCTCTGTGTCCTTTCCCCACTCAAAGGGGAAGCTCCAGCACATTCAGAACCAAACAAGCGCTTCTCCAGCAGCTGGGAACACTATCAAGCTAGAATAAAGAGCAAACGAGGACACACACCTTGCAGCTGAGCCATGCTGGAGCGAGAGCTCCTATGCAGGCACCGAGACCCCTTCCTTGCTCCCAAGATGTGGAAATGGGTGCATGGGGAAGGAAGCAGCTTGACAATACAACACTCCACGGGATCCTTCACCTTTCACACACTGCAATTACCCGCACAGAGAGATGCCGCGAGATACGCTTAGGACTTTGCTCACTATATTCTGTACTCCTTTTGTTGGGGCTTTGCAGGACTTTAGGAGGAAAAGAGGAGGACTCAGCAGGGGCCAAGGGGACTGAGGACGGTGGGACGGAGCCAATCCTCCAGCACACCCCCGGAATTCCAGGCTCAGGAGCAATCCCGAGCTGGACTGGCATTAACCACACTGCAAAGGGCACCAAGCAGCCTGTTCGTCGGAGGGCCAGGCAGCTCCGTGAGCATGAGTTCCTAACAATGCAGGAAAAATAAGGAGAAGTGAGAAAAGACAAGCAGGACTGCTAATTCAAACAGCTGCGAGAAAAAAAAGGGATCCAGGCAGTGGCCTCGTGTACTTTACTGAAGCCCAAAAATCTGCTTTTAAATGTCAGTGTCTGCAGCGCAGTCCACACACAGGACTCCCTTATACTGCCCAGGGAAGGGCAGTGCTGACGCCAGGGAAGCACTTGGGATGAGGCTGGGAAGAGCTCGGCACCACCACGACCTCCCGACGTTCCCGCAGCACCGCTTGCCACGGAGCAGCCGGCAGCCCCGTGCGGAGAGCACACGGCCACCGAGGCGAAGCCACCGGGGTCACAGCCAGGGGAGGAGGAAGAGGAGTCGAAGGGCACACTTAATCCCAGCAGATACAACTTGGCTTCCAAGATGCAGCCTAGTGGGCTGGGACAGTCCAAGCTTCACAGATACGGAAGGATGCGGCAGGAGACCCCTCCAGAGGGCAAGTCCCTTGCCCAAAATGCACCCTCCTGTCGGCCCGCTCAAGAACAGTGTTGCACAACTGCAAATGTTTGGAAACACTCAGGAGCATCACCGAGATAAAAATTAAATACAGACACAGCATCTGACACAGCCGGCGCTCCCAGTGCAGACCAGGCTCCCACTCTCCCATCCGGCCAAGCCGGCTGCTCCCTGCGGATTCACAGCTGGAGCAGGGGAGCTGCAGAGCTGCCCGCACGGGCCAGACCGGCACCTTTCGGAGATGAACATGGTCACCGGACACGCGCTTGGAAGTGTCACCTCCGGAGCACTGAGGGATGCACGGGGAAGCTGGGCTCATTCCCGGCTCTGGAGGCTAATGCAATAAGTACAAGCCCCGCTCAGTAAGAGCATGTTTATGCATCCCAGTACTTGCTACCTGGGCACTGGGAAACAGCGCAAAGCCGTATTGCAAACAGACCGCCCCGAGCAATCAAGCAGCGACATCATTAATTCAAGGCAGCTGCAGAACTGGCTACAGAAAAAGTGACACCCGCTCCCTGTCAGGACTGCGCTTGAACCAGGAGCGAGCGCGTGGGCTGATGCAATAACAACTTCCAGGCTGCTGGAAGTAGGACAGCGCAACACGCGCCGCTGCCGGCGCCCTCCTGGCACCCGGCACGCGGGCGCTGGCACCATGTCACCAACCTGCGCACGCGGGACACCCGCCCGCCCGCTGCTGCTGCAGCCCCCCAGCACCCCAGGAAGGTCCCGCAGCGTCACCTTTGCGAGCAGGGCGTCCCCGGTCGCTCCCGGAGCAAGTGACCTTCACGCAGTGCCCCTGCTGTGGCCAGAGGCTGGAGCGCGGGTTGTCACTGAGGGCTGCCCACGTGGGGCCGTCCCCTGGCTGGGCCCTCTCACAGGCAGGGCTGGGTGCCCTTGGCACTGGGATGGGGACAGCGTGAGGCCTTGAGGTGTCCTTGGAGATGGGGACCCATTGGGGTGTTGGGTGGCCTTGCTGGCGGGACGGGGAGAGCGCAGAGGGCTCAAGGATGCGATTGGAGCAGCACGGGAGGTCAGGATGGTGACACAGGGAAAGCACGGGGGGCTGGGGAGACAGGGACGGCACAGGGAGCTGGGGTGGGCGCGCTGGTGAAACAGGGGCAACACAAGGAGGAGGTGGCCTCAGAGCCGGGGTGCCAGCAACGAGACACGAGGCAGCCCAGAGCCGGGACGGGCACAAGCGGCCAGAGCCGGGGTGACCTCAACGACGGGGCGGGCGCAGCAGCGAGAGCCGGGGGCACCTCGGGGGCCGCGGGGCACCCACCTGCCGAGGCGGCGCCGTCCTCCGCGCCGGAGCTGCCGCCGCTGCCCGGCTCGGGCGGCGCGCGGGCCAGCGCCGCCTCCAGGTACCGCACCTTGAAGCGCTCCTCGGCCAGCGCGCGCTGCAGGCGGCGCAGGCGGCGGCGGCAGCGCCCCAGCTCGCGCTCCATGGCCCGCACCGAGCCCAGCGCCATGCGCGGCGCCGCCTCGCCCGGGAACTCGGCCTGCCAGTGCCGCGCGAAGTCGGCCCGCGCCTCGGCCTCGGCCGCCGCCGCCATCCTCCTCCTCCTCCTCCTCCTCCCGCCGGCCCCAACTTTCGCCGCCGCCGCCGCCTTCCGCCCCCGCCCCGGGCGCTGACGTCGCCCCCGGCGCCGCCCCGGGCCCGGCCCCGACAGGGCGGGCGGCGCCGCTGCCGCCGCCCCCGGCCCCGCTGCGGGGTCCGCGCTCGGCCGCGTTTGTCCCCCCGCAACCCCGCGGCTCCCGCACCCACCCGCCCGCGCCCGTTTCACCCTGTGCCCACACTGAGAGCCACGCGACGGGGTCCGGTCCGGTTCCGACCGACATGGGCTGTGACTGACCCAGCGCCCAGTGCCCGGGAGGCTGCAGGGCCCGGGGCTGCCTCGTGCCCCGGCATAGTCCGGTACCCACGGGGCCAGCACGGGCTCCGCTGGCTCCTGTCGCAGGACAGAGGGTCTGCAGGTCCCAGCACAGGCAGCGTTTCCTGCTGGGCCACATGGGGCTGTGGGGTCTGCACAAAATGAGCACAGGGCCACACTGGGTGCCACTGCGGGGACAGAGACTGCAGGAGCCTGTGTGCACCGGGGCTTCACGGGGCCCCTTCCCTGCTCCCTCCTTCCCAGCTCCCTCCTTCCCAGCTCCCATGGCACTGGGGTGACTCACACGTGTCCTTTGTGCCGCCCGGCTGTGCCCCAGCAGGGACAAAGCATCCAGTTATTCCCCCCCAGGACTCCCCTGCAGTGTCGCAACGGCCTCCTCCTCCGGCTGGTGGCTCCCTGGGGGCTACCAGGATATGGGAGCTCCCAGCCCTGTCTGACCTTGGCGGAGGGGCTGGGGGTGACGAGTCTGACTCTGGAGCCCCACATGTGGGGTGTAGAACCAGCCCAAAATGTGGGTGCCTGGGTGGGGATTGGAAGCGCCCACATTCTGTGCACCCACCCAGCGCATGTTCCCCACAAGGGGCCAACCCCTCCGCGGAGGCTGATTTATGCCTGGCGACGGATAATTGCGGCTCTCGCATCCGTCGGGTGGGCAGGCTCGGCCGAGCCCCCGGGACGCTGCCGCCCCCCCAGCCTCGGCATGTAAATTTCCCGGGCGTGTGGCCATAAATCATCAGGAGCCGCTCCCAGGCTGCCCCCCCTGGAACGGGCATGTCGGTAGGAAGCGCCCAGGACGAGGTGGGGACGGCCGGCGGGATGCACTAATTACAGGCAGCGGGTGGCATCCGCTGCCCCGTGATTTATGGTCCCCTCGGCAGCAGCTCCGGGCGCCACGAGCGCCGCTCGCGGTGGCTCCACGCTGGGCACGAGCAGGGGGCAGCAGGGGTGGCAGCTCCTGCGCTGGCCTCACCTGATCCAGCCTCACCAGCAACATCCTCATGGACACATCCATCCTACTCAGACAGGTTTCCAGCAGCATTCCTGGAAGGGAGCCGCATGTGGCACCATCCCAGCGTATCCAGCTGGCACCGAGTGCCCCCCAAGAGCCTTTTGCCCCATGAGCAGCTCACGGGTCGGGGAGAGCAGCCGCGCGCGCAGGGGAGCCCTCGCCAGCCTGCACGCCCCGCACCTCCGTGGCAAGCCCAGCTGCCTCATCCCCGCTCCCCCCGGGCCTGGCTCCTGATTTATTGGGTTCCTGGAGCACAGGCCCCTAAATTAGCCCCGACTTCAAAGCGTGACCAGAGGAGCAGGGTAACAGCCAAATCGCCTACCGCTAATTGCGGCCATTGATCAAACTCCATCCAGGGCGATCCGATAGGAAGGGGGATGTGAGCAGCGATGCATCCTGCCAGGAGCTGCTGCTGCTCCGTGAATCCCAACAATTTGTCAGCGCGGCTCCCGCTGGGCTGTTTTCCGAGATGCTGCTCCTGGCACACGTGGGCCCGGGCAGCTTCGCGGCGGGGCCCGGCGGGCAGGGGACAGGAAGGCTCCTGGGGCAGGTAGCGCTCGCGCTCTGTTATCCGGCGCCGCGGCCGCTTCCTGCTCCGCAGGGCAGAGGTGTTCCCAGCCCCGCATTCCTGCCCGCCCGCGCCAGGGGGCTTGTCCTGGCCAGGGGGCTGCCGCTGCTCCCAGCCCTGTGCAGGCTCCGTCTCCCACTCCCGAGCTCGCACAGTGCTGCCGACCCCATCCCGAGGAGCTGGTGTGGGAGGACACGGAACCTCCAGGGTGGCCCCGTTTTGGTCCCTGGGCCCCCATGGTCAGGAGCGGCTTGGCCTTCCCCTTGGTCCCACACACCCGGCTCCTTGCTGCTTCCCTCAGCAGCCTCCTCCCTCCGGGCCTCAGTTTCCCAGCTGGAAACAGGAATAACACTGGAGAGGCCAACAGAAGTCACTTGTGGGGCCAGGGCCGTTGCCAGAGGGGAATCATGGGCTGAATGGCCAGGGAGGGCGGCGCGGGCGGCCGCGGCACACCTGGGCGCAGGTACGAGGGGGTCGGGCCGGGCCCACGTGACCGGGGGTTTAGAGGGGCCGCGGCGCCCGGGGGAGGGTCTGGCAGCGGCAGCGGGTGGTGGCAGCGCCGCTCCCGTCCCCAGCACCGCTCCTGTCCCCAGCACCGTCCCCCCGCAGCCATGGCCAGAGCAGCCACCAGGAAGGGCCCCGCGCTGCCCCGGGAGCCCCTCAGCCCTGGGGAGCACCCGGCCGGGGGGGCTGCAGCCCCCGCCGCCCCAGGGGAGACCAAGGCGAGGAAGAGGAGCAGAGCGGTGCGCTCCAAGGCCCGCAGGATGGCCGCTAACGTCCGGGAGCGCAAGAGGATCCTGGATTACAACGAAGCCTTCAACGCCCTGCGCCTGGCCCTGCGGCACGACCTGGGCGGCAAGCGCCTCTCCAAAATCGCCACGCTCCGGAGAGCCATCCACAGGATCGCGGCGCTGTCCACGTCCCTGCACGGCGCCGCGCGCTGCCGGCCCTGCGCCCACGCCGAGTGCTGCGGGGGGCCGGAGCAGGGCTCCAAGCGCTGCCCCCCCGGCCCCGCGCCCGCCGCCGGCCCCACGCTCCCAGCCCCGCTCCCGCACCGCGAGGAGAGTCGCTCCTGCCCTGCCTATTGCTCCGGCGGGAGCCTCCATCCCGGCCTCCTGCAGAAGCACCCGGGCAGCCTCCGAGCCCCCCCGGCTGCCCCCTGGCCCTGGCAGCCGGGGTATTTGCAGCGCGCGGGGCAGCAGCAGCGTCTGCCCATCCACTGACCTGCGGGGCCGGGGGCAGAGACCGCGTGGGAAGGTAACGTGGCTGCCCTCGAGCGGGACGGGGCTCTGGCCTGGGCGGGATGCCGGGAGCAAGGGATGCTCCGACCGGGACCCCGGTCAGTCCTGGCCCTCTGCTCTGCAGGAAGCCCCAGTGCTGGGGGAAGCCGGCAGCACCACGTTGGCCCTGGAAGATGCTCCAGCCCCACATTGCTTTGCTGTGAGGTTGCATTTCTGCAGTTTGTCAGAATTATTTATTCTCTCTTGCTTGCTTTGTAAGAAAACACGACTTGAACCGCAGCAGCAGGGCACTGACTCCTCATGTTGCATGAAGGGGACAGATGGTCCGTGCAGGTCTGGCCAGGGTCACCCAGGCCGGCTGGTGGCTCCTGATGAGCAACTCGGGAAGCAGGAGGTGGGGAAGGCAGACGCGGTTGTGCTTTAGCTCAGCCCCTTGGTGCCTGTGTCCCGGGTGGATTCCCAAGCCCGATGTGCGGGCGGGGAAGGGGAATGGATGTCTGCACTCACGAAAGCCCCGGCTCCTCCTGGACACTGCACAGGGGCTAACGCTCTGGGTGCTCCGAACGGCTGCGACAATGGATGGGGGCATTTCTGGGCACTCACCCCAAGCCAGGGCAGGGTTAACGCAGGGCTCGTCCCGCCCGGCGCTGCGGCCAGGCTGGATACAAGCGACTCGGCCATGAGCGTTTGGGGTGTTGGGCTCCCCCCGTGCGCAGGTTTTAGCTCTGGCTCTGCCCAGGGCCGGCGCACGCAGGTTCTCCCTGAAATAGCTGAGCCGGCCCCCTGCTCCCGTATGCCATCCGCCAGGTCCTGGTGGGAAGCAGCTTCCTGCAGCCTGGGAGGGGTCGGGGAGCTGGGATCGGAGCCCAGGCGCAGAAAGCCGGGAGCAGCCAGGAGAGAGAGCTCTTAGCTCAGCTAAGGAGGCTGCTCCAAGCACTGAGAGCCTTGCCTTTAATCTGCCACAGTGGTTCCCTTCTGCAGGCGAGGGCCTGCGCCTGTGGCTGCGCAGGAATCCGCAGCCCCGCACAGCGCCCGCGCTCCCGCAGCCTGCGGGCACCAGGCTCGCTGCCAGCCCCGCGCGGCACCGGGGACTGAGCCGGGGCCGCTCCAAGGAGGCCGGAGTGGGGACGGAAACGGATCCCCGGCCTCCCTGCGCAGACCCCCGTGAGCAGCTTTTAGCCCCAGCGCTGCGGGGAACCAAAGTGGAGCAGAGGGAACCGGTGGCCAAGGTGGGTAGGAGGAGAGGGGATTCCCCTGCGGATGCTGCAGGATCCCAACAGAGCCACTCGCCGTTCCCAGGCTCACGTTAGGATCCCGGCTCCCACTTCTCCACCCGCGGGATGCCGAGCGGTTGGACAAGCCGCCCTGCTGCCCCCGCAGCCCTGTGGGACAGGATGGGGAGGGACAAGCAGGGGCTGGAGGGTCGGGCGCCACAGCTCCCTGGGCAGGGGTACTCCCTGCCTGGGAGAACCTTGTGGCATCAAGCGAGGAAACACTTGCAATGGAGACGCCGTACGGAGCGTCGGAAAACACCCGTGTCCGTGGGCACCTGGGCGCTGTGGTGGTCACGGTCCTCCCTCCTGCGGCCGCCCCTGCCCCACCGCGAGGATGAAGACGCTGCTCTTTCCTCCGCAACCCATAACCCGCCCCTGCAGCCGCCCCCTCCCCTGCAGATCCGCGCACACGGGGACAGGCTCTTTGTCCCCAACACGCCACGGGCTCCCTATGCCCACGCTCTCCGGGCCGCCCCCACGGCCCCGCGCCCCTCGGGTGCAGCCGCAGCGCAGCCCTGTCCCGCGCGGGGGGGCTTCGCACCCTGCCCCCCCACCCCAGCCCTGCGCAAAAGCCTCCAGCGGGGGCGGCCCCCCCGCCCGGGGACACGGCGGGGCTGGGGGCGCCGCGCGACGCCGCCCCCCCACCTGCCGCAGTGGGGCCCGGTCGCCCCCCGCGGCCGCCGGGG